CTCCATATAAAAAAGGTTATTGTGTTTATGTTCTTTCTCTATTTATGAGCTAGATACTCGTGCAATGCTAAGACTTGAAATTTGATAGTTTACTGTCGTGAATATCCTAGCCCGTAACACTTGTAAGATGTTAAACGAGAGGGAGAGAAAAAGGAATACCGAGTGGAAACAAAGAAAGATTAAAATTTCATTCACACTTGTACAGAAGACAGAGGAGCTCTTTATAAAAAATGAAATACAAGAATGACCGTAACGTCAGGATGACGTGGAGCCCACGTATGCAAGAAGGTACATATCTTGTATATCTTATAGGCCCCTGCAAACTGATGACTGCAGAGTGGTGATTAGTTTGTTGCATAAAAATTTGAACCGACATATTGGTAGTGGCTTGGTGAAGACGTCAGTTATTTGGTCATTGGTACATATATGATGGATAGTCAGTTGTTTTGACCGAATGCAGTCTCTGATGAAATGACAGTCCACGTCGATGTGTTTGGTTCTAGCATGATAAATCGGATTATTGGCGAGGGCGATGGCAGACATGTTATTGCAATAAATAATTGTATGAGTTAGTTGAGGAATGTGAAAGTCCTCGAGAAGACGGTAGAGCCAAAAGACTTCAGAGGCTTCTATTGCCAGAGCTCTATATTCAGTTTTTGTGGATGATCGGGCCACGGTGGATTGCTTTTTGACTTGCCAGGAAATTAATGATTTACCTAAAAAGTTGCAGTATCCGAAAATGAATTTTTGGTCTTAGGCGTTGTTGGCCCAATCGGCGTCGACAAAGCCTTGTAGGTTTAGATGATCTCGGTACAAAGGAATACCATTATCAGTTGTACCTTGAATGTAGCGAAGAAGTCTTTTGAGTGCGTCGAAGTTGCTGTTGAGAGGAGCGTGCATGTGTTGGCTTAGTTGATGCACCATGAATTGAATGACATGGCGTGTTAAAGTAAGGTATTGAAGTGATCCGATCAGGTGATGGTATAGTTGAGAGTTGGAGAAATCTGTGCTACAGCTGGTTGAATTATCGGTTTTGCAGGAGATGGGGGTAGAGACGGATTTTGAATTTTGCATGCCAGCACGTTCCAGAATTCGTTTGGCATATTGTTGTTGATGAAGGACTCTGTAAGTTGTGTGAATGGTTTGAATGCCAAGAAAGTGAGCTAGAGAGTCGAGGTTGCGCATTTGAAGCATTCTTGGAGGCTGGATAGTAGCCATTTGATCTCCGTGGGGGAGTTGTAGGTGAGTAGGATGTAGAGTCAGTTTGGACCCAATTTATATATGAGAAGAGATGGATCAACATTGCTGATAATAAAATCGAAAGTTTGAAGGTGATTGGATAGAGTTGCGTACCATTCGTGTGGAGACTATTTGAGGCCGTATAGAGCTTTCTTCAATTTGCAAACGTGGGTCGGATGCATGGAGTCTTGAAAGCCTGGTGGTTGTTGCATATATACGGTATCAGATAGTTTGTCGTGTAAGAAGGCATTAGAGACGTCTAATTGATGAATATCCAAGTTAGAATGTAGAGCAATGAGAATGAGAACACGAATAGGGGGAATCTTTACGACGGGACTAAAGGTTTCCGTATAATCAAGTTCGTGTTCTTGATTGAAGCCCTTTGCGACGAACCGAGCTTTGTATCGGGCCACAGTGCTGTTGGATTTGAGTTTGGTTCTGTAAGTCCATTTGCATCCAAGTACATTTTGATTGGGATGGGGTAGAACAAGATCCCATGTTCCTTGCATTTGTAATGCTTGGAATTCTTGAGACATGGCGGTTCGCCAGTATTCGCTTTTGAAGGCTTGATTAAAAGTAGTGGGTTCGGTGTGGTGAATGATATGAGAAAGATTGAAGACTTGCTTTGATTTGGAGTGGCCGGTCTTGGATCAAGTGAGCATGTGGTGTGTAGTGGGTTGTGAGTGTTGGTGGAAGAAGTTGAGTTGGAAGGAGACGGAATGGGTTATTGAATGGGAAATGTGTCTGGATGATTGAGGTAGTTGGAGGCCAGTATGGATGAATAGGAAGCGACAGGTTTAGTTGAGGGTGGAGGATTGAGATGAATGCTAATGTGATTACTGATGGAAGTGGGTAACCCGTTTGTTGGAACAAGAAGTAGAGGAGGAATTATAGGGGGCGGGCTGGTGTTTGAGTTGTGATGGTTTGATAGTTGAGTGAAGGGGAATATTTCTTCGTTGAAGATGACGTAACAAGGTGTAAATCTTGTTGGTTGTAGGATCGAAGCACCAGTATCCATTTTGGACTGGTGCGTAGCCTATAAAAATACACGGGTGAGATAATGGAGAGAGTTTGTGAGTGGAGTAGGGTTTGAGCCACGAATATCAAAGACAACCAGAGACTTTTAGATTTCTATACGTGGGTGGTTTTCTATATAGAATTTCATATGGTGATTTGTTGGAGGTATTTGGAGAGGGCAGACGATTGATTAAATGGACGGCGGTCAATAGAGTGTCAACCCAAAGATATGTCGGAAGGGATGCTTCAATGAGTAAAGTGCGAGTGGTCTCGGTTATATGACGATGTTTGCGTTCGGCCACACCATTTTGAGATGGTGAGTAGAGACAAGTAAATTGATGAAGAATGTCATGAGCAATTAGATGAGTTTAGAATTTATTGTTGATGAATTCACCGCCGCTATCTGTACGAAGCGTGCGAATATGAGTCTGAAATTATCGTTCGATCATTTTCTGAAATTCGAGAAATTTGTTAAAAAACATTGGATTTTTGGACAAGAGGATACACCCACGTATATTTTGAAAAGTCATCTATGAAGCTAACGTAGTAACGATATACGTAGTTTGAGACAGATTGAGAGGGGCCCCAGACGTCGGAGTGAATTAATTTGAAAAGAAAAGTACTATTACTTTGTGACTTTTTAAATGATAGTTTGTGGCTTTTAGCCATCCTACATGTATTACATGTTAAAGTAATAGAAGAGGTACAAATGTTTGAAAAATGATTTGCTAGATAAGAAAGCATGGCCGAAGAGACGTGGCCATGACGTTGATGCCAAAGATCGGGAATGGGTTGAATGGAGAGAAGCGCGAACTGAGAGGTAGTAGTTGTCTTGTGCTGGATCGTACAGAGAGGATAGAGCCCGTTAATACACGAACCCATGAGAAAAGTTCGGTTGGTCTTCGGATCCTTGATTTTGTAGCCCGAGAAGAGAATGTGATAATCCATTTGTTGTAAGTGGTGAGTTTATGAACAGATAAAATATTGAAAGAAAGATTTGGTACAAGATTTAGTGAGATAGTTGAAGACTACCTTTAGGTGTGGGTAAAAGACCTTTACCAGTGGTGTGAATGGGGAGTTGCTGGCCGTTACCGAGGATGACTTGGTTGGAGCCGGTGTATGCATGTGAAGATTGGAAGTGCGTCGGATCCGAGATAAGGTGGGAGGCTCCGCTGTCAAGGTACCATTCGGTGGGTGGAGGAGGCGAGGGGGAGGTGAAGAGAGCAGCAGGTGGTTGTTCAGTGTTGTATTGATCGTCATGACGATGCTAGCATTTGACCGCGGAGTGTCAGGTCTTGCCACAGATTTGGCATGTGACGAGCGATCTTGATTGTTTTCCGCCTCTAGTGTTCTTCAATGAGTTTATATTGTTGTAAGAATTGCGCCCGCGGGAAGTGCTAGATCGACCTCGGCCATGGCCCCGTGCTGCCGTAAGAGCAGTGGAGTTCGCAAAAATTTGGAGGGACTAGAGCTTGCGGGTTGTTTCATGTGTGAGGTTTAGCTCTTCGCTACAAAGAAGGGTATAGAGATCGTCTAAACTTTGAAGGTTGGTACGAATTGCGGTTTTAAAAGATTGATAAGTGGGCGGTAGTCCGTCCAAAGTGTAGTGAATAATGTCTTCAACGGCAATGGGGGCGCCGACGACATCAAGAGAGTCTACTTTGGTTTTGATGTCAAGAAGGTATTGAGACATCATTTTATCCTTCATAGTGAGGTAGTGAAGTTCGTGTTTGAGCTAAATGATTCTTGAGCGGGTGCTTGATTGAGGTCGCCGATCAAGAAATGTCCATATTTTGTTGGAGTGGTCGACGGATAAAACGTAGGGGAGGATTGTCGGTGATATGACAGAGTATAAGGCGGCTGCGAGATTCTGATCGAGCAAGAGCCAGTTGGTGTAGTTGGGATTGGGGATGGACTAACCAGTCATCGTGGTCCTGATTCTTAGCATGATGGAGGAAGATCCATCCAAGAAACCTTGGTATCCATTTGCCCGAAAGAGTTTAAGAACCTGAGATCGCCAGAGAGGGATGATTTTCGACGGTAAGCGGTTGAGCAATAATGTTCTTGACATTGCTCATGAGGAATTTGAAGGACGTCGGAATCGTCGGAGAGGATTGCGGCTGTTCTTCAGAAGCGAATTGATCGGGGGAGGAGGTGGTGGTGGAGGTCTCCATGGGAAAGACGAGCAGAACCGAGAGAAAAGAGGGAGGGGAGTTTTACCGCTCTGATGCCATATAAGATGTTAAATGAGAGGGAGAGAAAGAGGAATACCGAGTGGAAACAGATGAACTATTTATAACAAATGAAATACAAGAATGATCGTAACATCAGGATGATGTGGAGCCCACATATGCAAGAAGGTACGGATCTTGTATATCGTAAAACACTAAGTATTATTGAAGAAGAAATATAGTTAATTCAGTATGTCAGCATTATTTATTCTGCTTTAGCTGAATATTTCTAAATTTAATAGTTATTTTTATATAATAATCACCTTACAATATTCCACAGCCAAAAAAAATTTCAACAAAAAAGGCACAATTCTGTAGAGATAAATATCAAATTCATAGAAGAATTCCAGAGCTCTAACCCTCATTTGGAATCTCCTCTCGGCCATCTCTAGTATTCAACTAGTATTAAGCCATCTTATTATGCATTGTCATTTGGTCTTCTATGCTGGTACGAAAAGGGTTCTATAGATATTTTTAGGAGTCTTAATAGTTCTAAGAAGTTTTTAGGGGTGTTAATATTTGATACGATCCGAAAACTCGACTCAAATTTGACCCAAAAATTCTGAGTTATAATCAACCCATTGTGCATGCCAATATTTGAACTATTCATTTTCTTAATACCCAGAGTACAGGAATACAAAAGTATTTATAGAGCCCGACTAAAGGACCGTACAAGCTTTAACCATTACAGTTGGCAAGAAGTGTACTTTCTTGTTTATATGTTAACAGTGCAACGGGTAGGGTTCAAGTTCCCGGATTGAATCGACTCGTTTGAAAAAATTGATCAGATTCAGGTTGACTCGAAAACCCGACAATGACCCGGACCAACCCGAAAAATAAAATCCTAATTCAATTCCAGCCCGCACCCGCGACTTGTGAGTCTTGTCCGTGTCGACATGTCGTCATGTCCGCACCGTGTTGGCATGCCTGGCCGTCGCCCCCTCCGCGCTGACGACGTCTCGTTCAATGGCTGTGTTTGACGTGAGTCGCGTGACAACGTTGAGTGTCGCTGCCGGCCGCAACGCCCGTGCCATGTCCCTGCCGCCGCCAACCTAGCCGTGTGACACTCCCATGCCACGCTGAGCAGCTGAAACGTCTCGTCACCTGCATACCACCCTGATTGCGGTCGCTGACTCACCGGCACTGTCACCGCCAAATGCCCTCACCCCGTGAGTCGCATGTGCACGGGTCGGGTCGGGTCAATCCGGTAACCCGCATGGTTCCGGTCCAAGTTAAAATACCTAACCTATTTTCAAAAAGGGTCATGTTCGAGTTTGCTCAACTAGTGTCGATTCATTGCGGTTCAACCCGATCCTGACCCATGACCCAATTTTAACATCCCTAAAAATTTTTAATCTAAATTTTGGTCTACAACAAACGATAACAAAATTCTGCCATTTTTTTTTTTGGGTGAGCTTCCCTTTTATAGTCCTTAAGCAATTTATGATAAATAAAAATTATTTACCGTTTTGCCACAAACAGTTCCGAATAATGCGATTGAAGTAGTTTTTATTGCAAATAACCTTTCCATTATAGTCCTCTTTTGCCGTCAAATATGCGATTGGTGTGCTTTACTAAATGGTCAAATTTATTCTTTTTATAATGTTTCTAATGGTAAAATGCCGGCTCTCCACTTCATTGATCTCACATAGAAGATGAATAGTTCTCATCGCTTAGCTTAGGCTCTAAGCTTTCATTTTGATTGGGCGTAAAGCTTTTATAAATGCACAGAACAAGAATCAAATAGAATCAAACAAAATAAAGTACGAATAAATTTCAAATTTTTTTACTTTTTATGCCTCATTAAGGAATTTTTATTAGGTCTGGTGTCCTGACGTAGCTCTACGTTCGGACGTCAATAACATGTCGCCACGTGCTCTTACTTTTTACTGTGCGGCCCGACGAGCCAACCTGGACCGAAACCCGGGGTTGCTATGTTCGCGTATTGCTCGGTATTGCTCAGTATTGCTTGACAATAACGAGAAATACTGTTATGTGAAGACCAATACCTAGCAAAACCGGGATATTGCTCGGTATTGCTAGGTATTGGTCTTCACATAATGATATTTCTCGTTATTGTCGAGCAATATCGAGGAATACCTAACAATACCCCAGTCTGCACAAATCAGTCAATACATAACAATCCCGGGTCCGGTCCGAATCGGGTCGTCGGGCCACGCGGTAAAGAGTAAGAGTACGTGGCATCATTTTACTGACGTCCGAATGTAGAGCTACATCAGGACACCATACCTAATAAAAATTCCTCATTAAGGCCCGTAATTGTAAAAAAATACCCAATATTTATCTTTACGAAGAAATATATCCAAAATTTTATTTCGAACAAAAAGAGATATTCGCTTCTATTTACTAATTGCATTTTGAAGCAAAGAAATTCTAATTTGGTTCAAATAAATATTAGACCTAATGATTCATCTGAAATAAAATACCAGACATATTTTTCTAAGAAAATAAATAGCATCTAAATTTTCTAAATATGATATAATGAGGCATATAAAATCAAATTTCTCATAGTTTTTACTTTTTATCACTATTCAAAATTTACTATACTAATTGCTACATTATAAATATTTAAAATAATATCTTTATTTAAATATTGGAAGAAACCCACCGTTGCTTAGCTTGATTGGTGGACCAGTATAATTGGAAACCCCCAACCCATGCTCTATTTCTCTCGAGCGTCAGCGCCTCTTAAGTGAGGCCCAATGAAATGCGGGTCAAGAAGTTTCTAGGGTGCGTGCCTCTTTTATGTTAGCCGAGGATTAGTCACACTGCCAAAGGCCCTTTCGGAGATGGCAGCGGATGGATATCCCGTTTATATATATATATATATAAAGATTAGCAAGTCAACAGATAAGTTCAAAGGTTATTTATTTATTATCCTTAGAATCTTACTACAGTGCTACAAGGAAACAGCTGGAGCCATGAAAACAGAAAAAAAGAAAGTTAAGAACTAGCACTCAACTGGCATCACATTACACTAACTTTCACAAACAAAAATACAGCATAGCATCAACAAGGATTTATTCTTCTACGAGTTTGGAAAAAAAAATAATTAATTCAAATATTTTCAACAGAATTTGGACGATTCTTGATTGAATTTACGCATATGGCAGCATTATATAGTACTATATACATATAAGCATATCTTATTTTCTTTGAGATTTTTTTTTTTTGTTGAAAACCAGAGAGTACTTTAAAGATTAAAGCTCTTAAAAGAATTATTGAGACAAACTTAATTAATTTATGAGAGAAAGAATCAAAATAATTCATTAACTACTATTTATTAAAAATTAAAATAATATCCAACCATATTAAACTACTATTTTAATCTCCTCAACCTCTTAAAAAAGAGCCAGAATAATCTCATCACAAAACTATTTTAATTTTTTTCTCAAAGACTTGAGAAATCAAGTCTTTTAATCAGGGGCGGATCCACTATAAGCCCCTAAAAATTTAAAAAAAAAATTATTATACAATTCTTTAGGTAATTTATCTCCCTCCATTTTTTTTCAATCTCTACACTTTTACTTATAAGTTTGCTCCCCCCAAGGGCGGATCCAGCTTCTTATTTTAGGGTAGGCAAAAAAATTTTTTTTTGATGGGGTATGGACAAAAATGCTTAGGATTAATAAAATGAGGGCAAAAAAAAATTTTTAGCGGGGCAAAATACCAAAATATTTAAAACTATCCCCCTAAAATAAATTTTTTTTTTGAGGGGGGGCAAAGATAATGGGGATCCACCCATTGCCTCCCCCCCCCCCCCTAAAAAGATAAGTCTGATTCCACCCCTGCTTTTAATATAATTGAAAATCATTTTGATCCTTCATAAAAAATTAAGAGATCATTTTGATCATTTTCTAATTAATTTAGCATATTAAGATGCCAAAATAATAATAAATCACCTAACTACTCTATTTCATATTTGAATACAACTGGATTAATTAGTGATTTCTAGAAATAGAAAATATGTTCATAGTAAGAGTGAAAGCGCTTAAGCCGGCATTAGCTGTTGATCTAAGAAAATTGAGAATCGGTAGAGTTAACAGCCTTACAGGGGTGCATATGGCTTGGTCTCTATCCACAATTAGTCACCGCCTTGTCAGCCCTATTGGCAGATAGCATTCTTTTCAATGCTGGAGACAAAGTCAAGACAAATATAATAAATCTATTACTTTGCATCCATTAATTAATTGTTAAATTTATGAGCTTAACTTGACCCAGCCTTTGATATTCTATTCACGTGTAAGGAACCTTTCTGTGACATTTGAACCAATAAACATCACAAGTTAATGTTGTTGACTAAAGATAATATATATTATTTTCATACTTCTGGAGTTTCGACATCTGAAAATTGCAGCGGCGAGAAATACAAAGTTTGAAGTCTTAGTTTTATATGAAGATCCAGCACACAATCAGATGAGAGAGACGGTGCAAAATATATAAATATAAGATTACGTAGATAAAAACAATACAAATAAAACTTCATAATTGAAGCTAATAATTATTACATTTAACAAACAACTTTGAATTTCTCTGATCATATAGTTACATAACCACATGCCAATTATGTTAACAAGGCAAAAAAAAAAAATTGTTATGAGAAAGATTAATCAATATGGTAATAACACGCATAAAAAACAAAATATTAATATAGATTGAATGATTTTGATTGATATTCAGAAGATCGTCGCCATGCAGTCGCAGTGATTAGATGTGTATCTTGCCAACCTAAGGATATTGCCATCCCTTCATCTCTCTCGAAGATCCGAAATCCAGTTGCAGTGCCATGGTCATCCATTGCAGAGCAATGGCTCTTGATTTTAAGAATAAGCTTTGCCTGGCTCACTGAACGCGAGCTCATCCTCACACCTTCAAATCGATATCTTTCCATCACTGCCTTCCATGTCTCCAACCTCTCATATCTACAACCTTTCTCTTCTTCATCCTTAACAACCACTGCATGTTTGATTTCCCTCCCCAAGTGGTTCTTCTCAATCCTAAGCCTTTCTATGTTCCTGGCTGGGAGGCAATCATCCAAGGAATCAAACATGGCGGCGAAGTAATGCAAGGATTCTGTGAATCTCGACAAGAAGCCATTGTGATTCCCCCTGCTCCCTTCCTTCTCAACCAAGGTAACCACAGAAGGATTCAATGTATTTATTTGCATCAAAGTTGAACATATATTAGAAGAATTCTTCAGGGTGTGGAGATAGAATACTAGATTCACTGCCACAGTTGCATTCTTCTTTACCTGAATCTCCGGTCTCTTTTCTCCTCTCAATCTCCCCTGAAACTCGAAGGAGATATTGCGGCAACCAGAGGCGAAGCTCGAAAGCCTCTTCTCTGTATCCCTGAGCTCTTCTACGCTCCCGCCAAACCCCGTGATAAGCAGATTGATAGGTTTCTGGTTCGTTGCCTTGTCGGATAAAGATTGGATCAAAGAAGGCCATTGCAAACCATATGATACATCGAAATCGATGACATGGAGGCATCCTCCATTCCAATGCTCATCTTCCTCGAAAGCTTCGAAGATGGCTTGGTTGGCAGTGAAGTGTGCGAATTGGTAGTAAGGGGACGCTAGGTAGAGGGAAGCGAAAGCAGAGAATTCCTCTTCAGGGGAGGGGTCCGCCATGATAGAGCTATAGAAGGAAGAATTCTTGGTCAAGAACCTCGCCAAGAGACCATCAGTGAAGTAGGCGGTCATCCGTTGGATCGGGTTACCGCATAAGGAGACGTTGCGGTAGAGCTGCCGCAAAAAGTCGGTGGCGGAGCTCACATCATTGCGGTCCACAGCATCGGCGCATAACAAGAGGAGGCGGACGGGCTGCAAACCCTTGTCATCTGCCATTGCAGGCCTGTTACAGCCAAGCCGCGTCATCCGATCCCTAGCTTGAAGCAAAACCATGAGATTCTTATCATTTGGTTCATCCATTCTTTTCCTTTTCTTCGTGAGTTCAAAATGACAGGCACTACCTATACTCAATCTCAAACTAAGGAGATCCTCTCCCACCTCTCCCTGCATCTTCTATCTATCTTTCTTTCTCTATTTATCTTCCTCAAATGATTTTCTCTCTTTGCAATCAAAGAAGAAAGATTGAGGAGGTGAGAGAGGGGAGGGAATACAAGAACGGGAGGTGGGAATATAAAGGGAAGGGAGGACTGGGAATTGAGAAAGAAGACAGAGTGAAGGGATCTTCGGAAAGAGGTTAAGAGAAAGGGTTAAGTGATTTGGATTTGATTAAAAAAATTGGAGAGGATCAATGGATATCTTTTGTGATTTGGCATTTTGTTCATGCTGTCGTGGGTTTCTCGATATCTCCAACTATTTCTCCCTTTTACGGATTCCTCCCACAGATTTCTGTTTTCTGCTTGTCTTTAATGGAATGGGAGTGGTTGAAGGGAAGAGCTTGGAATTGTTCAAGAAATACTAGACGTCAAATAGGAGAGAGTAGAGGAAGCTGCGGGGAACCAGCAACCGTCGCTACGACTTGTCGCCTAGCCACCCACCCGACCCCCCACTCTCTCTCTCTCTCTTCCTAATCTTTTTTCTATTCTACACCTATTGCTCACGAGTCCTGACTTATTTTTTCTCCTCCAAAAAATTTTTTAATGGAGAATCTATAGCGGTCAACCACCGAGGCCTCTACCCGCCAAAAAAATTCGTTAGCTGTTTAGCAATTAGGCCGGTTGTAGAGATAAAATGTTTTAGAGTAAATTCAATAAATTTAAAATCTATTTGATTCTATTTAAGTCAGTATTTTAACTAAGAATTTATTTATTTATTTATAAAACTCAAAATCTCATGGATGAGATTAAATATCTCAAGTTCTCAACCAATCGATCTAAAAATGGAGAAATTATTCTGCATGGAGTCCGAATGTATCTTTTCGTCTGGATTTCAATGAAATGAAGCCACGTGACTTATACATATCCTGTGTATATAGGATATGTACAAGTCATGTGGCTTCTAGGAGTGTCAATTTCGGGTCACGGATCGGGTTCGGGTCGAATTTGGAACCGACTCGGGTTCAAACGAGTCAACCCTAACCCGACCCGGGTATGTAAACGGGTCGAAAACTCGGACCCGAACCCGACCCGTCAGGTTGCCGGGTTGACCCGACCCGACACAAGACCCGAAACGCGCGGACGCGGGCGGGCGAGAACGGGCGAGTGCGGGTGTGCGCGGGCGAGCGCAAGTGTACGGGTGCGCATGCGAGCGCGGGTGCACGAGCGGGCAGGTGCTCTGGCACGCGTAAACGCGTGCTTGGGCAGCCTCAGGCGCAGGGCGCCGACGCTGGCAGGCACTGCAGCGTGCACTGGCAGGCTTTGTCGCGTGGGCAGTTGAGCGGGCAGGGTCCGGCCAGCCACGGGTGGTGTGCGGGCAGGCGGGGCAGCTTCGCGGGCAGTACGAGCAGCTGATTTTAAATGGGTTTGCGGGTTGACCCGGCAACCCGTCGGGTCAACCCGAACCCGACCCATTTTTCAAACGGGTCAATTTCTGAAACACAAACCCGACCAGTTTTGAAATTGGGCCGGGTCCAACCCGGATTTTCCGGATCGGATTTTCGTGTCGTGTCAAATATTGACACCCCTAGTGACTTCATTTTATTGGAGTCTAAATATAAATTACATCCAAACCCCTCATATAATAATTTCTCCTAAAAATAATAGCATCTCAAAATTAATTTGGAATTATTTTTAAATCTTATTTAGGATCAATTTATTTTATATGAGAACCTCCAGACCTAAATATTTTTTCCCTTTCAGTGCCCAACCAACGGGCATGCTCTGAATTGCCATTTGTATGGCGCTGATCTTAACGTTGCTCTCTTTAGTACTAAGTGCAGATGATGTCGAAGTGTATGACGTCACATATAAAACAAATAAATAAATTAATTTCGTTCTAGGAAAAATCCCAAACGTACGTGTGGGTGGGTGGTGGTAGTGGTGTAACAGTGAACATGGTCCTTAATATTAATGCATAGCATGCTATTAAATATTTATATTCTTCTTCATGATGTTTATGTGATGTATCACGCATTAAATTATGCAAAAAGATTAAAGTCCACGTCTCTTAATATTGTTTTCCATACATGTACGCTATAATTAAATTGCAGTTGAAATTATTTGTCTTTCATATCCCATTCATACTCTTCATGACCAGTTATGTGACATGAATGCAATGCATAGATTTTAGTTTGTTCAAGAATTTTGGTGTGAATTTTCATATTTCAAAATACACAAATATTCAAGTCCAAAAGTATTTTCTGAATTGACTTTGTGATCAATTGAAATATATTTTTAGCAAACTTATAATGGAGACCCTATAGATATTAGTGCATAAATTTCTTTATATGATTTACAACATATTATTTCTCTTCTTATTGCATTGATTTCAATCGTAAGATTTTAGTTAGTTATTGGGCTTTCATGCTCATTATGTAGTTTTATATGATTTCAGATAAATGTAAGGAGCCTGTGACGATTCTTCTGATTTATGTATATTCTTTTGTAGTCTATAAAACTATTGTATATATTATTTTGAACTCTACCGATAAAATATAAATATTGATTAATATGGTAATGTGAATTATATTTTTTGAATATTTATTTATTTTCTGTAATGCAATTAATCAACTATGGATGTTTATTGATCTGGTTGATGAATGAATAGAATGAGATTGTATAGATAATAGTACATAAAGGAATAAAAGAATAAAAGAAAATCTTTTACTTTAGATCCCGAGGTGTGACAAAAAGTTTATAATGTTACTTTTTTCCCTCATTGAGACACTGAATTCATGCTTGTAACTTTTCCTTTCACAAATCTAGCATAAGTTATGCCCTTCTCATCAACAATAGATACAAGCCAACAAAGTTAATGCTATGCAAACCGATGGAAAACAACACAAATCACACAACCAAACACAAATGAACACGATGCGATTTATGTGGTTCGGCAAATATACCTACATCCACAGGAAGGGGATGATTTCACTATATTGTGAAGAAATAGAATTACAATTCGCTCTATTGCTCCCAATTACAGTAGCCCTCAACTTCCATATATAGGTTTGAAAAAAAATCAATAAGGAAAGCCTAATAAATACTCTAAGCAATGTCATAATTAAACCTCCTAATTAATAACATAATTGGATCTCCTAATTAAAGCCAATAAAAGCTTTTCTAATCAATGCTGAAGTAAATATGGAATAATTTTCATAACAATATGCACATCATATTTCAATTCAGAAAGTGAAAGATGATAAAACAGATTTCAATATTAGAACGACTGCACAAAGATGACTGTTATATACTTAATCTCTATAGTAAACAAAACAACAGTAGACTAAAGAACTGACCTCCAACTTATTGGGCCTCCCACTAATGTGAATAAGTAACCAATTGTAGACCTACACCTATCAATATCATCATTATAATATGAATCAATGTAGCCTAAAAATAAATCAACAACAGATAACTACCTCTCAAACAACAAGACTAAATTAATTACACCATTTATAAGATACCTCAAAATACTCTTCACAGCTTGTCAGTGACTCCTCATATCATGCATGAATCTACTCACAAAATCAATTGCTCGAACAATGTTTGGTCTAGTATAAACCATGACATACATCAGATTGCCAACTACACTAGCATAAGGAATCGATCTCATATCTTTTCTCTCCTGATCATCTTTAGTACATTGATCTAAACTTAGCTGGAAATGAGATGTAATGGATAGACTCACAACCTTGCTCGAGTCATCAACCCCAACTTTTTCAGCAACTTACAAACATAAGATCCTTGTGAGAGCCAAACCTTCCCAGCTACCATGTCCCTAAGAATCTCCATGCCAAGAATTTTGCGAGCTTCACCCAACTCCATCTCAAAATATTTGGGCAGCTGCATCTTCATCCTATTGATCTCAGTATGACTAGCATACACAATCAGCATGTCATCAGCATATAGAAGAAGGTAGATGAACTCACTCTTGGCCAATCTTTCATAGTGGCTCCTTGTGCACTCTCCCATCATGAAAAAATCAAACTTCTTATACCACTGTCATGGTGTCTGCTACAACCCATATAAAAACTTTTCTAATCTGCAAACCAAGTCTTTTGAGGTTCCATATCTAGGCGACTGTAGCATGTAGATCTCTTCTTACAATTCTCAATGTAAGAATGCAATTTTCACATCAAATTGCTATAGAATCAGTGCATAGTGTGCTATAAATGCTAATAGAACACAGATCGAGGAATGCTTAACCACTAGGGAGAGACCTCATCATAATCACTTTCGTCCCATTGTGCAAAGTCTTTTTCGCCCAACCTAGCCTTGTACCGCACATTAACTCCATGAAATTTTTCCTTCTTTGCATTCAAGTATACAACCATTTACACCCAATGGCTTTCGAACTTTCAATTAAAATAAAGGAGGCAAATAAAAATTAAGCTTTTAATTAACAAATTTTCTACAAGAGCTACGCAATGCTAAATTCCCCTTTTAAATTAAAAGAGCATGCCCAAGTGTGACTGTAAATTTGAGCATTTCAATTTTGATAAATATTAACTGCTTAAGATATTGAATTTGATTATAACTGTTTAGGATAACCTTGTAATTGGTTTGAGTCTCGATTTTCAATTTTATTCAATGTAATTTAATTTCAATTAAGTTGTAATATTAAAGTGATTTGAGATGGGATAGAAATCCAATTTAAAATCCAAACAGGAAAGAATACCTCATCTTGGATTTAAGTGTTATCACAGTTGAACAATGAATAAAATAAATAAATAAATAAAAATTAAAAAATAATAATAATAAATTAAAAATAAAAAATAAAAAAAATAGTTGAACAATGAAAATAGATGGCGAGTGACTGATCGAATTGACCAGGTCGTGTAAGAACAAGGTTCAAATCTCTCAGTATATTAGGATGCCTCAGGTGAATACATCACTCCACTTCCACTTGACACATATCGTAATGATAAACGGCTTGTCTCGTTGTGACCTTATCTTGAATTTCCCCCACATGGGAGAGTTCTTATCCATTTGAAGATACAAATATTGATAATTTTTAAATATCCAAAGGGAAAAGAAAACACCCATTTCGAGGGAGAGTTTCTCTTCATTTGGATATCCGGACCTGATGGATCCAAGGAGCCCGCAAAAGGATGAAGAAGTGAAGACCGAGAAGAATCTTATTCTCAAAGTCGCTTAAGTCTCAGGAGTTGAATCCATACTGTTGTCAGTGGTACCCGACCACTTTACTTTTTCTGCAGACCATGGGTTGTAATATTAAGTGGCATTTGCCACATGAACTATTGAATTTATTTGATTAATTTGATTGATTATTTACTTTAATTACGATTATAATTGTCTGCTTTTCTTAAATTTTTGTGGCGATTGCATGTCATATTTTAATTTAGTCTGAAACCCGATCGAAGGCTCGTGAGGGATCGTGAGGGAACGTTAAAAATTTTTCTACTTTAATTAAATTAAAAAATTTAATCTAAGATAAAAACTCTA